CAATAAACAACAACTTTTTTATCAGCATGTAATTGATTTATAGTGATTATATTAATTAATTCTAATTTTATATATTTTGAAACGGATTTATCAAAAGTAATAACATCTTTCTTATCTTCATCAATCAAGAAAACACAATCACAATGTTCTTCCAACTTTAAATCATCATACCCAGGATTGACCCAATGTGGTTGAATATATATATAAAATCTACAAACTTTTATAACAGAACTTGATATTATTTTTTAACATCGATTTCTTTAAATTAGTCGAATAAGGATTATAACAAACATAAGAACTATTCCAATCTTTATATTTATTTTGATTATGAGCTTTTGGAAAGAAATTTAATACGATATCTTCAATAAAATTCACATCGAATTTGGTTTTATATTTTGATGATTTTTTTTTGTTTAAAAGCAAAATGACTCTCGTTGGTTCCGTTAGTTCATACTTTTTAATATGGTTTATTTTGACTTTTTTTTTTAATTGTGTATTCACATTTAATTGAAAGTTTTTTTTTTATTCATGTTGATTGTGATTGAATCACTAAAGGCCCAAAACACATATTTAAATAACTATTTTCTTGGAATCTAAATTCGTTTTCGAAATACTGAAAATTATACTTACTTAAATAGCTCCCTGAATGACATCATGATGTCCAATTCCTTGTGGTGCGTAAGGTCTATTTAATATTGTTAGAAATGTTGAACTATTATAAATGTTATTGTTCTCAGATTCCAATCTCCTTTTATTTCGCTTAATACAATTTTAATTGTATCTTGAAAGTTTAATAAGCTAAATCCATCATCAGTAGCGATAGACACTGTTTTGTCAATTATCAATTTGATTATATAAAGATTTCTTTGTATTCTTATTTTTTGATTTTTAGTTACACGTTCAGTATTATCCAATAAGTTATTAAACTGATCATATGAAATTTTATTTCTTTGAAGTCTTGATTATAAATCTCTTCATTAATATAATTGGTTTAATTTTTTCAAATTTTATGTCATGTCATTTAATTTGTTTTTTAAGAATCTAGAATTTAATGGATTACAGTATATTATTATTTTTTTTAATCAAAAATATTAATTTTCTAATATTTTAAATTAAATTATTTATTTTATTAGTTTATTAGTTTAAATTTTATAGAAAATTTTAACATTGAACATACCAGTATTTTATCGTGTAATTAAACAATGAAATGTGAATTAAAAAACTTTTCAATTGATAACATCACTACAAACCATTATTTTATTTTTTATTTATTTAGTTGATCCAAAAAACCAATAGTTAATATAAATTGTACTTTAAACTATATATTAAGTTACATTACCTATCTAGTGGTTCAAGTATACACTCTGACCATTTGGAATCTTTGCTATGAAAATGTCCCTCCGAGTAGAGTATCCAGAATTTTGCGGTGCATAATTCTGCTCGCTCTAAAAATATTTTTTTGCCTTGTATCTGGTTTTAAAAAAAATGATTAAAGTCATGTTTATCTTACGGCAAAAAGATATTTTTAGAGCAAGCAGAATTATGCACCGCAGAATTCTGGACACTCTACCTCTGAGGCTTGTTAATTTTGTGAATAAAAATTAAATTTGTCAATAATCCAATTTTTTTTTAAAATTGTAAATCCTCAATAGAATCCACAAATTAAAAGAATTTCATTCGGATTGGATTACTGGCAAATTTAATTTTATTCACAAAATAAAATAGCCTCGGAGGTCATTTTCACCAGACGTATTAGAACTCTACCAGAATTATTTGTAATATAAGTTAATTTCACAATTGAATTGTTGAATCTAATAAATTTGATTAAATATTATTAAAAGTGAATTTGCTTTTAATAAAAATATTTTAAAATCAAGTAATTGAACATTTAAAATATTGAGTCATAGTAAAATGATTCAAATGACATTAAAAAAAAGTGTAATTACTTTATCATTAAAGGCATAATTTTCTTTTCGTCACTCATATGAAGTTTTAAGTTCTTTAAATGAACTGTTATGTATTTTTTAAGAAATTTTCAATTGGTTAAATTAAATTTTTTGAATTTTCTAATTTATTGGTTAAAATCTTTTTTGGTCGGCAGTAAAATGATAATATTTTTTTTTTTTATTTGAAGTTTTAATTTTAAAGTCAAATCACTATCGGTAATTGATGTCTGGCAATTACCGATAAAATTGGAAGATTAGATGATATAAAGAAAACACATTTATTCTCAGAAACAGCTGCTAATCCACTTGCGTACAGAAAATTCATGGAGCTTTTATCTGAATTATGAACGGGAAACGTATTGATTTTTTGTCTTTATGGTTGAAGATAGTAACGAACATTGAATAAGAAAGAAAGAAAAATAAAATCAAACCGTTGGATGGTGATTGTATAGTATTTTTAATTCTTGTAATCATCACAATTGCTGTTGCCAACGTTTTACCTATTTAAAATTTCTTAATTATTTCGCTTATCATGTATGTTTATGGAAGCTTGGCCAAATCAAAATAATAATCGATATTTACACGTTTGAATGCGCAGTGCAAAAGTTCCATTTATCAAAAAATCAAAAAGCAATTTGAACTTCCTGTCACGTGAGTGACAGAAAGCTTGAATTTATTAATTAATAAAATGCACTTCTTTCGGAATAAAGCCCTCCTCTTGATATTATTAATTTAGAAATATGAAGAGTAACATGTACATCTTAAACATCTTCAGAAGTCATAAACATATCGATTGTCACAACTATATTTCAAATCGAGCAATTTGAATGAAGTTTAAGATAACGTTAATGGAAAATTTTCATATTAACTGACTAATCATCAGTGCCGAAATACGCATGTGAAATGAGATTCGTTAACATTAATACCAAACACCAAGTGGTTTGGCATTCCAATGCTAATCGTAGGGTAAATTATAATAAAATATTCATACACGTCACTCTGGTTATATCGACATTTTTGAATCATTAGTAAAAAAATTCAAAATGCCGTTACATTGAGTCATACCGACATTTTATATTAAATTTTTAAAAAAATTGTCGGTATAGACAGATTTTACTATGATGTCGTTATATCCAGATGTCAGTATAACCAGAGTAATGTGTACTTAATATTTTCAATTGATTTAAATTAAATGTGAAAATTAAATTAGAACCATCACAAATATAATTTAAATTTCAATAATGTGAAGGGTGTGGCGACTTAGTGAAGTGGTAGAGTTGTCACCCCCCAAGTAGCAAGGTCTAGGGTTCGAATCCTACCGGTGACGAAAATTTGAAAACTATATCTTGTATATCTCTTCC